GGGGGGGGGGGGCGGAAGTTGCCCCTCGGGTGAAGCCACCATCCTCCCCTTTTTTTATACCCCCAATTTACCAAATATTTGCCGCTATAGAGAATAAGTGGATTGGCATGTGTACAAATCAGGAGGTTAGCACCAGTCACTCCCTATAACCAGCCGATTCCCTTAATGGGTCCACTTTAGCTAAAGTGGGCCCATTAAGGTGGAGAATAGGGTTGGAGAATAGGTTTTGGTCCCTCCCTAGGGGCTCCTCAAGAGAAATCACAGGATGGGGTACTGACTGATAGCCAAGCACCCAGAAGGGATTTACGCAAATTGAAAGACCGTTTCTGGTCAACTATGCTGAAAACATGGAGAAATTTACCCCTACCGGATAATTTAGCCCCTGAAAGATGGGAGGAGGTATGTCAACAATGCTTACTTTTAAATAACACCTTTCTCAGGGATTCTCATGGACGGAGACTGGAGTTCTTGTGGGGCCAAGGAACTTCAGGGTGATGATGGTGCTCACCCCCTGCTGAGAAGTGGTTCCCTGAAACCCGTTACGAGGACGGGTGAGACTGGGATGGAGGGAGTTGGAGTGGATGCGATTGGCGCCAAGTATCTTGGCGGGTACCGGCCACTTGCTACTAACTCCAGCTGGAACAACTTAAGGTTTTCTCTTTCGATGATCGAGGCAGGATCCTTTGGGTTTGGGTTGACTGTTACAGGGGTTGGATGTTTCCATATTCTCCATATTATTTGACCTATTTTTTTATCAAGGGCGTCCCTGCTCAGTTAATCCCCTGGTTTCCGGGGCAATCAATGCTGGCAGGGGGAGGTTTTCTTAAGTTTATCTCAGAAAAGAGGTGAGAGGGAGAAGTAGATGGTTGGATATCAAGCGTCCGACTAGTGAGGCGGCTAGCTCGTAGGATGGAAATAGGGTACAGCAGCAGCGGAGATGGTGGATCTGCGGCAGTCAGTCTTGCCGGAGTGAGGTATAGGGGACTGATGGGGGATTTCTGAGTCCTTTTCTGAACTTTGCCTATTTCTGAAGTTTGTCGTAGTAAAAAAATTGCTAAGTAGCTAATGGCCCTGGTATCTCAAGCTTTCAAACTTGTTGCTATGTAAATTTTCATATGGGACGCTGGCCCGGTTCCCAGCACGTGTTGCTCCCCACGATAGATTAGAGCTTTGTTCAAAAGAAAAAAAAAAAAAAAGGGATTCTCAAGGATGTGCGCTTCATTGCATGGATTCCCCATGGAAAGGATGGATAAAAAAATGGAGTGATATGAATCAAATACATTTGGGATCAAGATGCAAGGGATTGGATTGGCTCCTTTGACCTGCATGCCTGCTATTCTTCTATAAAACGAATTCAATCCAATTAGAATAATTACAATATTCTATTCTATTGCAATATAAAAATATAAGTATTATTACATTATTATAAATTACAATATATTTATTAGAATATAGATAGAAAAATCAAAATAGATAAAAAGATATTGCCACCATCAGAATGAAGCTATGGAACAAGTAAATTGAAATAATTGATATAATTCCATTGGAGTGAATCCGGCTTCTCAGAAATGGACCTACATTGTACTCCAATGATTGGGTGGTTATTAAACCGCCAGTACCTTTCTCATATTATCGGTCACGGGCACTGCGCGTCACGCCCATGCGGGGAAAGGTACTGGTGGTTTAAGAATCAACCCAAGATAGTTCAGAATATTAGTTATATAACTGAAGTTTTTTTTTTGGGGGGGGGGGGGGGGGGGGGGNGCCATGATCACGCGCACGAGCGGGGAGGGCCGGATAGGGCAGGAAGTGGGCCGTTTGCCCCCGCCATGAACATCATTTGGGGGGGGGGGGGGGGGACAAGGCTCCAATCTATTCTTGGGGAGCAGCACGTGCTGGGAACCGGGCCCAGAGTCCCATATGGAAATTTACATCGAATTTTGAAAGTTTGAGATACCGGGCCCATTACCCGGCTTTGACTGAGAGAACTTTGAGAAAATTTTGCGCTACTTAGAAAATTACTACGACAAACTACAGAAAAAAGGTCTGCCCACAACAAAACATGCCACCACAGGGGTCCTACAAATGCTCAAAACCCTGTGGATCCCTAGCAGCCCTTCTAAAGCTCTCCAGCACGCGTCTTACTCCCTGCCGAGCTCTTCCAGGCCTCACACCCCCACCCTCCTGGCCTACAGGGCAACACGACTCGCCCCAGCTCCGGCCAGCATCGTCCCAGCAGCAACCCTTGGTTGTCCGTTGGAATGCCCACCCCAAAGCATCCCCAGATCTCTCTACCAGGCCTCACACTCCTGCATCAGCAGGTTACAGGGCAACACCCCAGCACCGGCCACCGTCGTTCCGAAGTATTTAATTCTGAAGTTTTTAACTCTGAGGCACTGAGTAGCCGGAAGTTAATTTCAAACCCGTTCCCGCGTTGAGTTTTTCAACGGCCGTTGAAACCGCGGTAAAAGTTCCGTAAAACGGCATTCAACTGCAACAAGCTAGGCTACCAGAGTGGGCCGGGGCATCCCACATGCACCGTTGAACTAGCTCAACGTAACGGTGTGACACGGTCTTTGCAACTTAAAAACTAAAACAAAGGCAAAAAAGGAGAGAATCAAATGCTGCTGAAAGCTTTTTTTCCCCTATTTCCCAAGAAACAATGAATAACGAAATGCTATTGAAAATCTTTGTCCGTATTTTCTAAAAAGTAAAATGGAAAATACAACAATCCTCAGTGAAAGGCTCCGCATACTAAGCAACGTCGGAGACAGGGACTCACTAGACATGAAATGAACGTAGACAGCACTCCTGGCTTGGTACGTTCGCAGAAACGAGTTTGGGGCTGCATAGCCAAACAGCATGAACACTCTCTATCAGAGTGTCCTCCCACAGAATGTCAGAGTGTCCTCCTACAGAAGGTCATGATGGCACAATCACCGTTGAACCGATACCCCACTCCAAGTGGGGTACGTAGTTCAACGGAAGATGGGCAGGGTATGGGCAGGGTAGGGGGCGTTGTATTCGGGCCGAGGGATTTTTCAGCACCTTTCTTGAACCAAAAAACAAAAACGAAAGTCTTTCTATTTTATACACCTAAGAACAACCGTTGGATGTGCAGCTCCCGATGCATCTCAGACATCGCGTGAGGTCACACACGTTGATCTAGTTCAACGTTGAACTGGCTCAACGGTGTACGTGGGACTTGGCCCCCGGGGTCACTTGCCCGGCCAGGCCAGAAAAGTTGAAAAAACATTAAAAAAATAAAAAATAAAAAATATTATTTTTTATTTTTTATTTTAAATTTGGTAAAGAATTTCGATGTGACCTTGAGGCAAAAGTTTTTCAGATTACTTTTCTGCATAACATGGTTTTTTTGGGGGATTTTTTGGAGTTGGGTTTTTTTTTTTTTTTTTTCGCTGGGACCTTCTCTGGTCCTTGCACGGGCTGGCCACCCGGGACCGGGGCGGCCCAGCTGGTAGCCTAGGCAGCAAGACTAAAAATATAGGGCTGTAGATCTTTTCGAGATCTACAAGTCTATATTTTTTATCTACGTTTTCGAATTCCCACGATATTAAAAAAAAAAAACATAAAAATAAAAATAAAAACTGAAAAAAGAAAGATGAAATGAGTGGGTTTTTCTTTTTTTCACAAAGATTTTTTATGGGTAACGATATATATTACGACTTCGCTAGCTTCCTGCTACGGTTTTCTCAGTGGTCGGGGCCGTCACTACGCGGCCATGCTGTGCCTCTAGTGCCAGCGGCGTGTCTGGAGTGTATTTTTTGGCTGTGACAGACCTTTCTTTGTTTCGTGGGTGTTTTGCTGGCTTGTGATGGGGTGTGAACCGACAGTCTGTAGAGTTTTCCATGTTGTAATCAGTGGAGTAGGAGTGTTGGGAGAGGGAGTAAGTACTTATGCGGAAGGTAATGCGCATCCAGAAGTGTGTTTTTTTCAGTGGTGAACACAGGTCACTCATAAGCCTGAGGGCATACTCACACTACCGTCTTCACCGGAACAGAGCGCCCGGTCATTATAGCTGGATGCATTTGGCACAACGTTCAGTCCAGATGCAGCTATAATTACTGGACGTTTTATTCGGGTGAAGACGGTAGGACTTTCCAGGATGTATCTGGCCACAATTAGGGTGAGTGCTGGATGTATCGAACCGCTATTTTGTACGTCCAGAGCTGAGCCAGAAAGGTCCTTGTGTGAGTATGCCCTGAGAACATAGGTCGCGCTCGATAGCGAATGAGCTAGCTAGCTATCCACCAAATTTGGCGATCCCAGAAGGCAGTGAGTGAACAGGGCGTGGACGGTGAGTACCGTCTTCCCCCGAACACAACGCACCCTCATTTTGGCTGTATCTGGCCGGAAATATATCTTCTATACATTCATTTCAAGGGTGTGTTATGTTCGGGGGAAGACGGTAGTCGTGTAGCGACCAGAGGAACAAAGCATGACTGAGAGTTCGGCGGTGAAGGAGATGATGCATGACTGAGAGTTCGGCGGTGAAGGCGACGATGCAATGACAACCGGGAGGAGAGAAACCAGCAGGAAAGTTTGAATGGGCAGGACTGTGTGAGTTGATGTTTATTTGGCAGAACAAGGGATTGTGGGTGAGCGAAGGTGAATACCCGTCCCGCCCTAGATCGTGAGATTTATTATTTATTAAATTATAAAATTATTTCCATTTTTTTGTGCAAACCCAGGTTCGCTATAGGTATGAACAAAAACATTTCTGAATCCGAAGTAGCTCTCTGGTTTATAAACGAACAAAAAATGAATGAGCCGGCGAAACCGAGCTAAGACACAGCCCTATGCGAATCTCACCCACACTGCGGACTCTCCCTGAGTCCGCCTACAGAGGAGTGCACGACGCATTCGACCAGGTAGCGCCTCAACCAAGAACAAGAAAATGTGGGCTCATGTTCCATTCAGAACCACAAAACGTTTTTTTTTCCATCATTTAATAAATTATTAAATTGATAACAGGAGAGGCACACTGTCTAAAAGCACCCCAGACATCCGCCACACCCACAAGCCACGTGGTCGGCATAACACAGCAGCTCATGGGAATCGCATCCACAGAACAAAACCTCTGACGAGCGCAATATACCCAAACGAGGACTTTTTTGACTGCGCGACGAGTGTAATTTTGGTCAGATGACGAACCCCCCTATAATACTCCCACTAAGAGAACATCGTTGGGATTTCCAAAAAAAAAGAGGAACCCATCGTGTGAAACCAGGAGCGGCGCTACCGAACCACCCTGTCCACGTCTCCTCTCTCACCATGATGCACACGAAACTTCAGCCCATGAGAATCACACTCACAGCACACACTCTCACACATGAGACTTTTTTTTTTTTTTTTTTTTTCCCTTTTTTTCCCTTCAGGAAAATTGAATTGAATTGATTGGATTACACACCTCAATTTTTCAGTCCCTCCGTACCAAAAGAAAGAAATCTGGGACGACAACAAAATGAACAGTACTATTGAAAACTGAATAGAAATGTAAAACTGAGATTGTTGCACAATTGTTTGCTTTGGATGTCAGCAGACTCAGCACTTTTTTCCTCCTTCCAGTTGTTTGGACAAGGCTATGGCGGTTCTATAAGCGGGAGCAATAGGCGGCTGCACTGGGGAGAGCGTTCTGTAGTCCACCGAGCCTGCACCTGCCTGACCTGATGTCTCTGAAACTGACGACGATAACGCTGGCAAGGGATAGGACTGGTCAGCATCAAACCCATTCACGTCCCCGCATGCCAGGAAGGGAACGATCGCTCGATGAATTCCCTCGAGCCTTCTGCTACAACAGTCGTCGTCCGAGTTCACGCCCATGGCTTCGTTATCCAACAAGGACTGCAGGTGTGAAGGCTCGAACCCTTCGGGAGGAAAGTAGCCTTCGCAAACGATGAACGCTTCTATGCTGGAATTGCGGCTGCTCTTCGGTTTCGCGCACGTCACTCGGGGAAAGAAGAGCTTCATCTGAGTGTAGAGGAGGCTGATGTCCTTTCCGCGAAAAATCTTCGCGACAAAGGTGCCGCCAAGGCGAAGGACGTGAGTGACAATCGTCAGCGCCGCTAGTATGATCTGTGCCTGCACAAATTCATCCATGTCGTGCAAGCCTGTCACATCCGGGGCACCGTCAGACACGACAAGATCCGCCTTGCATCCCCGGAAATGCTTGATGACCATTTCCGCCGTACGGGAGCTCGTGATATCGCCCTGGATTTGCACCACCCCCTCGATGGGCGCCATCGGCTGCAAGTCAATGGCAACAATCAACGGTAGGTCGGATTCCCCATGGCCGCTCTCCTTTGCCGCCTTGGCGGGCAAGTACAGCTTGCGGCTGAGTACCTGGCTCCAACTTCCGGGCGCAGCGCACAGGTCGACCACACGCTTAACTTCCGTAAGGATATCGAATTCCTCGTCAATTTGAAGCAGCTTGAAGGCGCTTCGGGCTCTCCACCCCTCCTCCTTGGCCTTTCGATAGTAAATGTCCCTTTTGTCCTTCGAGCATTTGCCCATGATGGCTGTCTGTCCAGCCCTTCACTCAGGCTGTGGGGTGAATCAAGCCCGGGGAAACCGACGGACCGACCGACTGACGATGTGAAAACTCACTGGAGAAATCCACTGTGCAAACAAGGGAAGAGGGGAAGAAAGTGCTGCTCAGCACAACAAAGCTCCTGACTTGCCACTTCAAAAAGACCAGATCAAGTTCATCACGTGCAACAACACACGGTGCAGTCAGCACACTGTCGTGTGCCGCTCTTCGGCACCGCGACACTCACGTCTTTGGTCGGTGAATGGAGTTCACTAAACCACGAGTACCTACCGCATTTTTGTAACCCCCGGCCTCGAACAACTCTAGACCGGAGGGGCAGGCCGATTCGGCTTTCGCATTAACAGTCGCCCCACCGGTAGGCACTGGTGGCTTCAAGGTTTAGGGTAAAGAAAAGTAAATAAATAAATACTAAATATACAATTAAAAAATAAAAAAGGGTTCAGTGTTCAGCACTCAACGCTCGCTGTCAACCCTGAGTTGTCATCACAGCAACCAGTGACAGATGGACAATTGCTCAGACACAAAACATTATCCTTAGTACCAAAAAATACATCTTTCTCATGCGACCAGAGAGCACACACTCAGCACACCATGTGATCAACTTTCCTAAAAAAGTAAGTGCTAACTTGCTTATTAGGACATATTCGCGGTCGATTCCACATCGGAAGAAAATCAACTAAAATTAGTAAAATATATAAAATTACTTGTGTTCGTCGTGCAGATGGCTTTGCGATGGGTTCTTCAAACTTCTTCCTGGTGAACAAGCATTAGCAAAAAAAAAAAAAACAAGCATTAGCAGCAGCAGATGGGTCAG